TTTATAGTGACTTACATTCAATAGAGGTAGTATTTATGATGAGAAAAGGCAGCTGAGAGATTCAATGAGTCCAAACAAAAATACAAACAAGGAGCCTCGTGCTTTGTTGCAGCAATTAATGAAGATGGGTGTGACCGATAATGATAATCAACTAAAAACGTATAATACCTGAACAGTAAGCAAAGATGACCAAGATGTTTACAGTGGTATTTGAAGAAGACAGTCAGTACTAAAGTTCTGGTGGTACAAAACTATTCTTCGAACAAAGCTTGCTTCGTTGTGGCTAAGTGACGAAAATGGAGTTAACACGGCCGATTATTGTGTGAATCTACGAAGTGTGTTTAGCAAATTATATCTTTACAAAAAAAGGAGGTAATGCTTTGATTTTTACCATGCAAACAGATATTGTAATGATCTATATCTAGTGCAAAAATCACTGGAAAATCATGTTTAGTTTTCAAAATATAACTGTCCGAAGTTTGATTAGTCCGATAATTGATTAATTACTCTACTCCACCACACAATATATCAGTAAGATATAATAATACTATTACATTAAACTGTTCATCCAGTGGAGTACCTTTACCAAATATCACTTGGTTCAAGGATGGTATAGTTATACCTACTGATCAGTATACCAGTAGTAATCAATCAGATACACTCATTACTATGCTCACTGTTGTGGGATCATTAACTTCACATGGATATTATACTTGTCAAGCAGTTAATGATCTAGTTGAGAGGAGAGTCATAAATACTACAGCAAATGTTACTGTTTTTGGTAAATATATAGTGCTAAGTAATTGAGTCTTATCATTGTTATTTTGCATTTAGAACCATTAAGTTACTTTGGGAGAGAAAGCAATGTAACTCTAAACCAGTCTGATACTTTTACTGTCAATTGTAGCTTCTCTGGTTTTCCCTTGCCTGTTGTTTCCTGGTACTTTCTAAATAACTTTACTTATCTCAGTAACAACAGTAGAATCTTCATTACCACTTTTAGTCAAGATATTACTGTAACTTCAACTCTGACAATAAGGAATCTAGATAAATCAACTGATGAAGGAATTTACCACTGTATTGGATCCTCTACATATACTGTCTACATATCCTTATGCATTGGTTAGCTAGTTTTGTATGAGATAGACATGTTACATAGTTACATGAATTTACTTTTTATTTTGCATTTTATAGTTTGTAACAATAACTGTGAAGCCGGTTATACTCTAAACACTACTACCTGTACTTGTTCACTATCAAATATATGTGAACTGAGTCCTTGTCAGAATGGAGGTAATTGTACACTTGTTTCAGCTCCTTCTAATTACACCTGTGATTGTACTGATACTGGCTATAAAGGAATTAACTGCTCTGACTGTAAGTATTTTTTTATTCGCAATACCTATTTAATTGATATGGTGAATTTTAGTCGATTACATTGTCCCAAATATTTCAGCTCCTGTATCATATGTGGCTTTGTTGGCTGGTTCAAGTGTAACACTGAAATGTGTCCTGAATGAGGTTGGAAATCCTAAGGCTACAATCCAATGGACATTTGTTGGATCAGTAATCACTAATAATTCACTGTTTCTTATAACTGAGGGCTCAACCAGGCTGGATATTACTAATATTACTACCTTTTATTCTGGAGCATATAATTGCAATGCTTCTAATGTTGCTGGAGCTTCAGTGGCTACAATCAATGTTGATGTACAAGGTTTGTGCTATTATGCACTTGTCATTTATCAATTTTTAATATTCTAGAGTCTCCATATTTCATAGTTACTCCACCACACAATGTATCAGTAAGATACAATGATGCTATTACATTAAACTGTTCATCTGGTGGAGTACCTTTACCAAATATCACTTGGTTCAAGGATGGTGTAGTTATACCCATTGATCAGTATACCAGTAGTAACCAATCAGATACACTCATTACTATGCTCACTGTTGTGGGATCATTAACTTCACATGGATATTATACTTGTCAAGCAGTCAATGATTTAGTTGAGAGAAGAGTCATAAACACTACAGTGAATGCTATTGTAAATGGTAAATAACTAGTTAAAATTTATTTATATGCATTTTTACATTATAGAGCCTCTTAGTTATGGCGGGAGTAATCCTCCTTCTACCTATATAACTTTGAAGCAGTTAGGTACTTTTACTGTGCACTGTAGCTTCTCTGGTCATCCTTTGCCTATCGTGTTCTGGTTTCATAATGGTTTACTCAGTAGCAACAGTAGAGTCTCCATTACTACTGATATTCAAGAGATTACTTTAACTTCAACCCTGACAATAAAAGATGTCAATAAATCAACTGATGAAGGACTTTATTACTGTATTGGCTTGCAATCTTTCAAGAATTTATATTATGATTACAAATACTTAAATATTGATTAACTATACTTAGTTAACAGTTTAAGTTTATCTTTTAGTTTGTATAGTACCTATACTTGTTTGCTATTGTCACAGTGATATGTTATTGTTGCTCAATTATGTACTATAGTACTCATGTACCTAGATCTATTATTGTTAACAGTTGTGTTTTATTGTATATAAAACATTAGATCTATTCATGCATGGGCTCAATGATGACTGCATGGAATGGCAGGAGCTGGTGGTTTGTTTTGATTGATTATTCTTTCTTTTGTGTTTTATTTGTGAGAAAAACAGCTTTGCTTAAGCCTGTGAGGGTCAGGCTTTGTTACACTATCAAATATAATGTGAACTGAGCCCTTGTCAGAATGAGGTAGACTAGTTGTACACTTGTTTGATTCACCTCCTTCTAATTACATGCATGCACCTGTGATTGTAAATTTTGTGACATGTACTGGTAGTCTCAGTACTAACTATCAAGGAAAAAACTGCTCAAAACCTTTTCATTAGTAATATAATAGCATTTTATTAACCATTCTTCCTTCGTCTTATACTTTTTATTCCTCTTCCGTTCTTTCTGATAGATATTTGCTTGAATTATTATTCCTTTGAATCTTGCTTCTAATATTAAGTACACGTACTGCATGCTATAGAATGCCATTCGCTAAGAGTAGTTAATTTTAGTTGAATTAAAATAATTATTTAATAATACATCTTACCTAAAAATATTTTATTCTTGTAAAATATTCTTCCCTGCTCATGCAGGCTTGCTGTGACCTCAAGTGTATAGGTCAGGTCTATTCATTGTATTCATTGCAAGAATCAATTTTCTGTCACGTTACACTAATTCACATGATTTAATACTAAATAGGTGCAATATGAACACACAGATTTTTACAAATAGCCAAAAAAGTGCACTTTTCATTTTCAATTTTTCAAATGCATGTGTTTTTGTAATTCACGTAATTTGGGGGGACACATTTGTAGCATTACTGTATAAAATTTCTTTATTAAGGCATTATAAAAAATATTTTGTAATCCTAAGACATGAATGTAAATGACCTACTATTCAATCAATATTATGATTAGATATAAAAAATTATACATAAACATAAACAAAATATAAATATAAACAGATAATGATTAAAATGTTATATAGAGTCAAGTAAATTTGCAAAAATTTTAAGCTAGGCTACTCTCTTTAATCAACAATGATAATTCAAGCAGAGTAGTCTACACGTAGCTTCAAATTTACATTACTCTATTCATAATGATTATAACAGTAGAATAATAATAGTGATGATATTCATTCATCATCTGTTGTTTGTTCCTACTTACACACTACACAGACCACAGCTGGAACGTAAACATTAAAACCAGATGTTCTATATTAGCTGTTTAAATAGAAAGTTATCATTCCAAGTTATTGTTTGTACAAAGCAAATAAAGTTTTCTTTAGACCATATGTGCACTGTTAATTGACTTGTTGTGCCAAAGTTATGCATGTAAGTACATTGTTGATCAACTGCAATCAATTAATTATGAAAAGTCTCTTTTCTACAATAAATAGGATGTATTATAACCAACATAAAATGAGCAGTGTTATAAACATGATAGATTGCAAATCAAATATTTTAATTAGTACTTTAATGAACCTAAGCAAATTTCTCAAAACATGCACGTATCCATTAAATATTTATGTTTATTTAAGAAGGTAATGGGCTGTTTTGTAATTACTTCCGTTACTTAATTTATTTAAAAGACTTTAATAGAAACATCTACCGACAAAGAGGCAAGATGCTTTTTGCTGTGCTCTTGTGTCTCACACACTCAGTTCAATTTTCAATTCAAAGTAAGTAATGCTTCAAAATTAGAAATCATTATTTTTACTATTTCAGGTCCAATATTGAGTCCCTCTAGTACACCAATAATACAGCATGAGAATGAGGATAAAAACAGCTCAACTAAGAGTGGTAATGCAGGGGCGGATCTAAGGGGGGGGGGGGGTTTGTGGGGTTGCAACCCCCCCAAAACATTCTAACTCAAAAAATTTTTAATGCTTTTATTGTTGCAACAGTGGTGGAAGTGCTAACCACCTAGTTTATATAGCAACATTACTGTGGTTAATGAATATAATTAACAAAGAATGAGCTCCAAAAATGGTAGAAAAGTTGATTTCACGTGATTTTAACCACAAAATAGCGCCGAAAAGGAGGCGTGGCCAAAATTTCGGCGCGCTTTGCGCGCCATTTTTTTTCTCAACCCCCCCATTTGCAAAATCCTGGATCCGCCCCTGTAATGTTATAAATTTACTATAAATAGAAAAGCATAACTCTATATAAAGAGCAAATAATGATTAACTAGTAGAGTTAAAGTATAATTAGTATGCTAGGATGAGGTGTTAAGTTAGTTGGTAGTATAACAACCAAAATGTCATTACTTTGCTATTACATCCAAGTTTCTCAATAGCCTTGTATTCTATAATTGTAATATTTGTACTTTGTCTCATGCATTGAAAATAAAACATGTTTACATCTGTCTTTGTTTATATTAACAGATGATTGGAGTACAGCTGCCATAGACATGGCAAGTTATAGGGAAGAATAAGTTGAATTAAAATAGTGAAAACCAAGTTTTGTTGGTTTGTAAGGTTTTGAACATGCAGAGCAAGTTTTAAGGGCGTATTAGATCTAGGTGTCCCAAAAATCATTGAAATTATTGAAGTTATTAGTAACGCGGTAGCGTTATTATAATAGNTCTCGCGTAGCCAGACCCTCCCTCAACGGGAGGGTCTGGTCGAATGAGTGTAGATCGTTCGTTCTACTTCACCCCAAAACAGGGTGAACCGGATGTGGTTGTAGTAGGCGTTACCTTAATCCTCGTGGTACATCAAATGCTCTTACTCAAGCTAAAAACTCTGGCACTAACGCAAAGAAAAGAAGCAGAAGAGAAGCTGTTTAGCCATCCAGACAAAAATTGTAGCCTGCTCTCTCCAACAGCCTCGCCAACAACAGATAGCAGATCATAGCAGATATTTAACCACGTGTTGCATAAAGTATGCGGTGGTGAACAAACATATACGGACTTATTTAATTAATCACGGAGAACGAATGATGTACACTCATTCGA